AGGATGCGTGTCTGCAGAGGCACAGCGAATGTGGGTGCTGGATGTAATTTAAATTCATGGCTGAATACAACCCACCTGATCGAGAATGATCTGCCTCTGTTCTTCACACAGAGAGGTCTGACTTTAATAAGGTGTGTGTGTGTGTGTGTGTGTGTGTGTGTGTGTGTGTGTGTGTGTGTGTGTGTGTGTGTGTGTGTGTGTGTGTGTGGTGTGTGTGTGTGTGTGTGTGTGTGTGTGTGTGTGTGTGTGTGTGTGTGTGTGTGTGTGTGTGTGTGTGTGTGTGTGGTGTGTGTGTGTGTGTGTGTGTGTGTGTGTGTGTGTGTGTGTGTGTGTGTGTGTGTGTGTGTGTGTGTGTGTGTGTGTGTGTGTGTGTGTGTGTGTGTGTGTGTGTGTGTGTGTGTGTGTGTGTGTGTGGGTGTGGTGTGTGTGTGTGTGTGTGTGTGTGTGTGTGTGTGTGTGTGTGTGTGTGTGTGGATGGCCAGACATTCAGTGGTAGACTAATTGAGATAAGCATGCCAACAAGCTGACCAGGCTAACTGAATTATAAGCTCGTAAGGAGGGGACGTGGAAAGCCAAATGAAGCTTTGTCTTTTTTTTTATTACTGATGCTTAAATAAATTGTATTATTTCCTCATCAGAAATAGTAAAGATATTGATAATGTATGTTTTTATTTAAGGAATGGTACATATTTTTAAATGTTGTCATACTCCTACACATTCAAAGTTTCGATGGTTTTGATGAATTATTCGTCTTTTCCATTACAGAAAAATTATTGTATATATATTTATAAAGATAAAGTTCCCTTATTTTTTTTTATGGTAATATGCTTTTTATTTTGGTCTCTTTTGTCCCTTTTACAGTTTGTCTTCTTTCTGTGTCCTTAAACACACACACACTCATTGTTTATCTTGTGTGTCTTTGCAGGTGTTCTCAAACAGCGATGAAGCCCCCATTAACAAGAAGCTCCCCAAAGAGCTTCTTCTTAGGTAAGATTATTAATAATCAACATCCCCCCTCCACACACACACACGTTGTACAGCTTATGAGTAACCCTGACCTCAGTGTGTGTGTGTGTGTGTGTGTGTGTGTGTGTGTGTGTGTGTGTGTGTGTGTGTGTGTGTGTGTGTGTGTGTGTGTGTGTGTGTGTGTGTGTGTGTGTGTGTGTGTGTGGTGTGTGTGTGTGTGTGTGTGTGTGTGTGTGTGTGTGTGTGTGTGTGTGTGTGTGTGTGTGTGTGTGTGTGTGTGTGTGTGTGTGTGTGTGTGTGTGTGTGTGTGTGTGTGTGTGTGTGTGGTGTGTGTGTGTGTGTGTGTGTGTGTGTGTGTGTGTGTGTGTGTGTGTGTGTGTGTGTGTGTGTGTGTGTGTGTGTGTGTGTGTGTGTGTGTGTGTGTGTGTGTGTGTGTGTGTGTGTGTGTGTGTGTGTGTGTGTGTGTGTGTGTGTGTTGTGTGTGTGTGTGTGTGTGTGTGTGTGTGTGTGTGTGTGTGTGTTGTGTGTGTGTGTGTGTGTGTGTGTGTGTGTGTGTGTGTGTGTGTGTGTGTGTGTGTGTAAAAAAAAAAAATAGCTTGTCTTAGCTGGTGGGGAATTCCGCAGTGCTGCTCCAGCTGTGCTCTAGACCAGTGGTTCTCAAATGGGGGTACGCGGACCCCTAGAGGTACGTTGGAGTACTGCAGGGGGTACGTGAGATTTATTTTATGTTAATGAAAAAAAAAACATAAGTAATGCATTTAAACAAACTACTAATAGTAGATTAACTACTTTCTTTATAAGTTTACAGTAATTCTGGATAATAACATGGGAAAAATAAACGGGGTGCTCACTTTTCCTCTCCCTCTCCTGACAGCCCGCTGAACCTGTAATAAGTGACCCGACAGTAAAGAATAAATATATTTATAACTAGTTTAGCTAGTTCCAGAGTAGATAAACTAGCTAAGTGTGTTAGGTCTAACTCTTAGTGTATTTTGCTCCACTCAACGGTCCGTCACAGCGGCGGAGCTGTTATCATGCAGAGCTGCGTGTTCTCCGTCAGCAGCAGCTGATCTGATCTCTCTCTCTCTCTCGCGTCCGGTTATACTTCACTCGCGTTTATGTCCAAATCTATCAGATCTAGCTAGTTCTAGTTAATTATATGACTGCCTGCTTATCAAAGGACACCTAAACAATAAGCGTTGCTTGGCAACGGTGTGTGGCCGCAAAGTATAGCGCAGCATTATGCATATGTTTATATGAGGGGTCAAAATCCCATGCTCATAAAATGTTCATATATTTTTTCTCTTCATTCCCCACGCCAAAATAAATAAATATACCAATTTTAGGAAAAGTAACGAAGTTTGAGCAGTGTGGGTTTTATAATTAACAGAGTTACACATATTTCAAAACGCGAAGTGTAATAACTGCAGTTTGCCTCGCTGTCACACAGATTGACAAAGATCCTCAGTGAAGCACAAGCCCATGTTTCTCTCTAAATTGTAAGTGCAACTTTTTTAAAAGATCAGTTCAATACAACTAATGTCGTCTCAGTGTTAATGGGTTTGCCATGAATTTAGTGATGGTTTGAAATGTAGCATTTAAGTGTTTCTCAGTTACAATGTTGTTGTTTTAATAAATCAGACTCTGATGGTGCAGCACTGTACTGTACCTCTTTATATAGGCATTTTTTCCCTAACAAATTGTGTTTGCGCTGATCAGGGGGTACTTGGCTGAATTTTTTTTTCAAACGGGGTACATTATTGAAAAAAGTTTGAGAACCACTGCTCTAGACTACCAGTACACCCATTACAACCCTCACTACTTTCACTGGTGGACAGAAAATCACAGTCTCACTGCACTCTCTAGCTACAACACATTACTTAGTGTCACATGTGCTGTTTTGAGGCACTTGCAGAACATCAGATGTGAGGAAGACTCATTGTTATGGCAGTTCATCTTGTTTTCAAACCATGGAAAGTGGGTTGACTGAAGCCATTTGTTTTCTTTCTTTATCATTTTCTTATGCCCCGTCACCATGGTACAAAGGGAGTGACGTTATGTTGTCCCTGGTGCATTTATATAATGCAAGGATGCATCTGTGTTTAGACATTTGCAAACAAAGTCATAAATAGGAGATTAGTTGATACCACTTCTAAGAGTTTGCAAGACAAATAAATAAATATGTGGATGTGACAAAGATAAGCGTAACATCGAGAACATTACATTAGAGAAGCTAGAGTGTTTTTGATTCAAACACGACACAAATAAGAACATAAACTCACCAGGGAAATGTTTATAAATCATGTGGTTGGATCATTTTCTCGTAGACTTCAATCAAATCTGCTTTTTCTTTGCAACCCGAGGAGTTGCACCCTGCTGGGCCTTTTAAAAGGATGCATGTTTAAGGCACTTCACTTTTCAAATCTGATAGTTGCGGCTTGCTAGTAATTCATTCACATAAAGTGACCTGTATAGAGTTGCCAACAGACACAGCTTCCTTTGAGATGTCGCCTGCCAAAAACAGGTTTGAAACCACTGGAGCAGATCACCTGTTTGGTATGCATTGGCAGGTACATTGCAGTAGGACAATACTTGCTAATTAGCCTGTTAATTTGTTTAATTAACGTTGTTATTAGCATTACTGTTTACGTTTTAATGTGAGCCAGCCCGGGTACCTGACTTGTTTTCACATTTTATCTGCCTTTCAGGCGGTGCATTGTACACCGCTGTTATCTAGGTCAGTGCAGCATGGATTTAAACTGTAAACAGTGCCGTGCTATTATAGAAGATCCTTGTCTGACAGATGATGCTCGGAGACTTCAGAGTGGTTCTGGGTACTCTTAACTAGAAGCACTGACTCAGCAACCCCCACCACCGCCACCACCTCCCAAATTTATGTCTGACTGGAGTTACTATGACAACCAGCATGAGACTCGCAGCGAAGACTTGACTCTCTTATCTCGTCGTGCTTGAAGAGCCAGGTGTAGGCCTACATTATGTCCACAAATGGAAGTACACTCCATTCAAATCCCATTACGTACCATTTCAGAAAAATAGGCAGGATTTCACGAAGTAATCTAAAGCTTGTTTTCTGTTCTGCCTCTGGTGAGAGGCAACATTGGGGCTTTCTTGTTTTAAGTAAGGTAAACAATCTTGATGTTTTATCTCTGATTTGGCCTTATTGTTGTAAATCCTTGGTTGTGGAAAAAGTCATTGATGCATCTATAATGCATTTGATTACAACAATCTATCTTTATCTTAAACATCAGGGCTTTGCTCAACAATTATCCTTGTATTACTTCCACTAAGGAGGTCCTTTTTGTTTTTTAAGGAAACTTTATCTAATGGGCGGTAAAATGGGCCATGGAAGAACCCAATAAATGTTGGACCAGGTCTAAATCCCTGGGTCGATACACACATTTGATATCACCTTCACAAACAATTCTGATTGCACTAGCCAAGGTATTTGGCCCTTATAGTGATCAAGAGCAAATGTCAAATAGGGTTAACAGAACTCCAAACAGGACTCAGACTGACGGATTGCTTCCCTCTGAATATGATTAACTGAATACTTCGGTGGTCAGTAAAAGGCCGCACTCTCGCTTATAATGGAAAGTCAGATGCTGTTTGATTTAAACAGTCAATCAATGGTCAGCGTCACAGCCATTAACCAGTTGTTAGAAGGGTGATCGATAAGGGCCTGCTTGATTGGTCAGCTTCTCTGGTTCTCCGCAATCACTTCAAGGACTTTGTGTTCAATGTGTGAGTGTGCGTTACTTTCCGTTTGTCTATGCATTGCTTTGTCAATTGTGTGCATGTACTCCCTGATGCAAAACTCCAGTACAGATTATAGGAACATGTCCCAACATGCCCTGACCCTATACACATCAAAACACACAGCCTTTGTCCGCCTCTATATGAAGGAGACAATGGCCAGCTCCTGTTTCCTAGGGTTAAAAGGACATTCAGACCCCAGCTGCACTCAAAGCTTTGGCACCATGACAATTCTCTGAATACCTCACATTTTCCATACACTCAAAAAAACGATTCAAGCCCTTCTTAGACTTGACACATTAATAATTGTTTCACTTTACTTAAATATTTTTATTTAAGAAATAAACCTAAGTATAGTTCATTAGTGTAACACAAATTACATTAATCAATTCACTTATTAAATGTATTTAAGACAGAGCAACTCAAAATGAATTGTTTTCATTTGGGACCGCCCCTTTGCACATCACCTTTGCGCATGCACAAGATCCGTTCTGTCATTTGCCGCCTTTTGTCTAACACTGACGGTGTGAAACTGACGGTGGAAAGTCTATTATTTGGTAAGTATTTGTTTTTTCTAGTAGTTTAGAATGTTCCCTGTTTCCAAGTAGGCCTAATGCCTTTTCATTATATCGACAAGAATATTTGAAACCACCGTGTTATATTTTGCTCCGTTTTTAGTTGGGTCTAAACAGCAAGCTAGCTAGCTTGCTAGATATGGTTAGCATTGAATACTGGATAGTAGAGATCATTAGATTATATTAAATTAGATGTCACGTTATTGTCATTGAACACAGTACACCGAAATTCAGTTTAAATTCAACCAAAAAATGCAAAGAGTAATTCAAGTGCACGAGGTAAAGCTAGCTAGCTGGATAACTGGTTTGTTAGCTAGCTTGCTAGATACGGTTAGCATTGAATACTGGATAATGGAGATCATTAGATTATATTACATTCGATTTAACGTTATTGTCATTGAACACAGTACACCGAAATTCAGTTTAAATTCAACCAAAAAATGCAAAGAGTAATTCAAGTGCACGAGGTAAAGCTAGCTAGCTGGATAACTGGTTTGTTAGCTAGCTTGCTAGATACGGTTAGCATTGAATACTGGATAATGGAGATCATTAGATTATATTACATTCGATTTAACGTTATTGTCATTGAACACAGTACACCGAAATTCAGTTTAAATTCAACCAAAAAATGCAAAGAGTAAGCGCCGCCATTTTCTATCATAAAGCTCAGCAGGTCTGTCCATCTCTCTCCTGGCCTTAGTGCAGGCAGAGGAGGACAGGCGGAGCCACTCGTTTCTGTAGGAGTTCAGTTGAGTTTAGTTTTTTACTGCCAAATATTTAATATAAATAATGAGATAATATATATATGTGAATCTTGTATGGGTTACCTCACTCACAAGCAGGCACCCAGAGTTGTGCAGAAACGTAGGCCTGCTTTATAAAACATGTCTACTAGACTCTTAATTTTAAAGTGTGATCTGTTATCATTTTTTTTTTGGGTTGTGCAATCTTAGGCAATTATGTGTTGTCTGTGAAAATTCAAATATATAAGCATTTTAATCACACCTCTAATATATTTATGTTGTCTTTTGCAGTTTGATCAGCATTAACAAGCATCTTGGGGCAACCTCTTATTTATGGTAAGTACACGGCTACTTTCACATTACTTGCATAAGCTGATCTGTGACATTGTCAGTTGTTCAGTGTCAATTGCTAATTCTCTTTTTTCTCTTTTTCAGGTTATGCATGTGGCAGTGCAAACACTGCAGTTTGGAACTAGCTAGCAGGTATTTGTTGTTAAAACATTTCCGGCAGACACATGCACATTTAAGGGGCAGTTGTCGCTATCCATGTCCATATACTGATTGCCCATGTTCGTTTGACACATGGAGTAAACTTTTAAATCACACATACAAAACTCATGCTAAACAGCTAACACCAAAGCCAGTAGAATTAACAAGTAACAATTGGTTGTATTGTGCTTGTTAATAATATTTTTAAGGTGAATGCGGAGTTTTTGAGGATCACAACATCACCACTTCAATCAAAGTTCATGTGGCAGCTGGACCACTTCTCAGACAAGCTCTTGAAGATCTTCAAGACCAAAGGAGGAGTGAAGGGGCACAAAATCAAGGAAGCCCTTGCAATATCAGATTCGGTTAGTATAAATGCAGAGAACCTCGTTTTTCACTGTATTGTTTTTGTCCATGATCATATGAACACATTTAAGAAATTGTCTGCTTTTATAGTGTTTTTAAGGCAATAGCTTATTGTGGAAATGTAGGTGTAAGGAGTCCTGCTTAGGGACACACACGACAGATACAGCCCTCTACGTTGTAAACTACCTGCTCTGTTGCACATGCATTGTGCTTAATTGTCTTTGATTTATCGCCCCTGCTTTAGTTTGAAAACATCCACATCAAGAGGGGGTGCATCCTGCGAAGCATCGCGATCTACCTCAACGAGGATCCAGACTCTTTTTTTAAGGAGTATCAGGTATGTTTATCACAATATGTTTTCAATGTATTGGTTAACAGTGTTACCCACAATTATAACCACCATTACTTACATTTATAATAAGAAAATTATATGGCACACAACCCTATCCCTGCTTACATCTAAATATCTTATCACATATCATAAATACATGCAGAAATAAATAAATCTATACATTAATATAGGAATGAATATATGTAAGAATGAATAAATACAGAAATAAAAAAATAATAATAAATAGATACAGAAGTAATTTCATCGGGCAAGTGTTAAAATAAATATAGAAAAAAGTGAATTAATACATTTATACAGATATAAATACATCTATAAATTAACATAGGAATACAATTGATAAATACAAATGTGAATTAAAACATGAATATATCTGGAAATAAATACAAATAATAAATGAATGCTGAAATAAATATTTACATTTATATATAAATACATCTATAAATGAATAAATAAATATGGACATGAATACATATGTAAGAACTTATAAATAATTGAATAAATACATAAATAAAATAATAAATAAATGCTGAAATATATTAATCAATAGATTCATGTTTAAAAAGGTATGTGAATGCAGCAATTACTAAATTGTTAAAGGAATAATTACATAATCACATAAATCAAGGAAATAAATTATTAAAGAATAAATAATCAAATACATATCGAAATAAGTAGGTAAATGCATAATTAACTACAGGAATAACAACAAATTACATTATTAAGTAGGGACGTAAACAAATAATACCTGAATTAATAAATAAGATAACGTTGATAATCAAACAGAACATACAGGAATATATCTTTATAACTTATTTATGCAAACATTTTCTTTCAAGCTTAATTTAGTTCTGTGTTGGAGGTCCTAACCTTCTCTGGTATCACTCGGACATTTTTGTCCAAATTGGTAATTTTTCACATCAGATTTGGCTATAATGATTTTGTGTTTTTTCTAGATACTTTTTGGAATTTCAATTTTTCTAATCGGTCTCGAATACACTGTACAAATTACCCTAATTGTCCATTTAAAAAATGTTCCCACACTTCCCAAAAAGTGTGGGGGAAAAATATTTAAATATAATATTTGTATCATATCATTTTATCATTCAAGTTTTTGAAAGTGGACATTTTTATCCTGAGTGGCCAGATTGGGTAGTACATTTGAGTGATACCAGAGGGTTAGTCTAAAACTGTTTTGATCAATTAGGAGAGCCACATAAGTAAATCTGCTTCTATAAAATGTAGTAATTCAGGTTTTAGTTAACACATATGTTGTATGTTTGTGTCTTTGTTCAGGCCTCTGCCTCTGAAGATGCCAAGAGGGACATGGCAAACACAGTCATGGGCATATACACACTTCAAAGAGATGTGGATGGGCAGCCAGAGGACGTGGGAATTGTCATCGAAGGCAATATAGTCATGGACAACTTGGGCAGCGTGATTGTGGGGTTTGTCATGCTATTGGGACTTATTTATGCCCTGGATTTGAGCTTTCCGGACAACCTCAAACACACCTTCGAGTTCATGCAGAAGGTAGTGATGAATCTGGATGGGCACAAGCTGAATGGTAAAATCGAAAGTCTGAAGATCAAGTTGTTCGATTGAAATGTGAAAAAGAAGTGACTCATGAGTTCATTGTTGTCATTTTATTCACGAGTTTCCTAATCAGAGCAGATTGAGCCGTTATATCAATCATTTGTTCTGTGCTTTTCTGTATTTGTTTCAACACACTGTAACACTATTTCCATATGTTGGTGTTTGCAGTGCACTCTTTATGTTATGTGTTATTGTCCTGTTAGAAGAGCAGTGCATACCCCTGTTATATTGTATTCATTGTATTTGGCAAAGGGAGATTTGTAAGTTAATTATAGGAGTTCCATTTCTCTGCCATTTTAAAAATGGTATTATCTTTCAGAAATGTTTTTCATCTTTCAGTGTGAATTCATTCATTTTAAAAAGACTGTATTGAATGGAGGATTGTTTTGAATAATGTGAATTTAAAAATAAAAAAAACTAAACCATGTTTTCTATCATGTGTAACACATTTTTATTAAATTATATTTAACCTCATTATTTCATTTTCAATTAATTAAATAGGATTTAGGTGGACTAGCATTATTTAAATTCATAAAGGTAATGTTATCATTTTACTTAAACTCTATTTGAAAAATTTGAGTTGGACTAACTCATTTACATTATACTGCATGGATGCCATTAGTTTGAGTTTGTGCCACATATATTTATTGGATGGAAAACCTGCCAACAATAAAATTGAGTTAATCCAATGAGTTATTTCTTTGAGTGTAGATGAGGCACGTTTTGAGCAGTAACCTTTTAATCACCGGGAACTCAGACCATGCATACATGTTTGGTTTCATGGGTCCTTCTGTATATGTAAGTAAGTTTGTCTGTCCGTGGCCTTGCTTGTCTGAGTGCCAGAGATTACTCATTGGCAGATTAATGGATTGAGCTGACCCAGTAGCCGGCTGCATGAAGCCCTTTGTGGACGACCGCCCCAAAGCTCAAACACTGCCCGTCTGTGGGGCTTTCCTGCTACCAACCAACACCACAGGGGATTGTTCTGTTTCCTACACACACATATAAAATCACACAGAATAAAAGATGTTCAGATATAAAGTTTAGTTACAAACTGACCTCTTTAATTGAGGTTGATTGTGAAAAACTCATGCGCTTTTTTTGTCTTTCTTTTTAGAATATTCTCCTATCTAGATGTGGTTACACTGTGTAGGTGTGCCCAAGTATCAAAGGTAAGCACTTCCTCCCACATTAAAAACCTCCTCACATCCTCCTTAAAGTATTGCATTTTGTGATTCTAATTAAAGGTGGGGTAGGTAAGTTTGAGAAACCGGTTCGAGATACACTTTTTGTTATCTTCCATGGAATGCTCTTAACATCCCGATAGCAATGAATATCTTAAGTGCTTTGACAAAAAATCCATAACAACATTTCATCTGTGGAAGCCGTAGTACTGTAAAAAGCACGACCAATCATCTGAGCCGGCCCGGCTAAAATAACTGGATGGCCTACCTGCCTGTCAGCCTTCCATCTGTGCACAAACTTATCTCGTGCCCTCATTGGTCATGTGCGTGTTCGTGTGTGTTGGAGGAGGGGCTCTGTAAGGAAGTGGCAGATTTCTTCCAGCTGTGTATTTTCTAATTCTAGCGCACTCGAGCTGGTTTCTCCAAAATTACCTACCCCACCTTTAATGGAATGATGGAAATTGAAACCGGATTACCATTACCAAATTCTTTAGAAATGTCTATAACATAGTGCCATCTGCTGGTTAGTTGTAAATGGGCCCCTGTTTGTAGTGCACTGCAGCTCAACGTTTTTTTTTGATTGAGGTTTCAGGGCTTGGCACTTGGGCTGTGAATGCAGAGCTATGGTGGCTGCTTCTCATATTAATTTATTTCTATTGGGAAAATGTTACTTCTTTCCGCCTGTGACAAAGCTAAATTACTGTGAATACAATATATCAGACACCTGGAGAAAAAAACATTGTAATTTCTTGGAGCCAAAGGGCATGTTTCCGAGACTCTGTTGTTGTCTGACCAACATTCCAAAATCAAATAATTTCCAGGTAACGATGATATACGTCAGAGAAAACACCTTTAGATTAGACGGATGGATATAGGAGTGAAAACAGCAACTCGTACACTTTCTCCATTACCAACAAAAACAGAACGTGTTAAGGCTGCACTGTATGAAGAAAATATTCCATATTTGATAATACTGAATAATAATACTTACAACAATTAAACAGAAGTTAAAATAATCTTTCTTTTGATTTATTTAGCTTTCAGTGTAATGCTAAAATACAACAACAAAAAAGCAGGTTGACATTGCGATGACAAAAGCCCCAGAAAGTAGTCATAGTTAATATTTAGACAGAGTAAACTATAGGGGTTGACTCACTATGTTTATTCATCTCTCCTGCATATTATGATCACCATTCACATCCCCCCCACCTCTGTCTGACCCACATGTCGGACTCTGTCCACAATCTGTCTGTCACCCTCTCAGGCGTGGAATGTCCTGGCCCTCGACGGCAGTAACTGGCAGAAGATTGACCTGTTCAACTTCCAGACGGACATTGAGGTGTGGGGTGTTTTTTATGAGAGAATAAAAGGAAGCGTGAAGTGGGTCAATGAACTGTGTTTGTGTATGTGTGTGTTTGTATACGTGCTACACGTGTGTGCTTGTTGAGTAGCTTTATCCAGCCCAAGGCTTAACTCGGGGTCGGTAGGCTTTGGTGCCGACTGTGACGTAACAGCTGATCCTCTGTCCTGTGGACCAAGTCATATCACTCTCTCCCTCTCATTACCCTCTCCATCTCTCTCTCTCTCAGGGTCGGGTGGTGGAGAACATTTCGAAGCGTTGCGGAGGCTTCCTGAGGCAGCTGAGCCTCAGGGGCTGCCTGAGCGTGGGAGATGCCTCCATGAAGTGAGATTGTCATTGTCAATCTGGCATTCAATGTGATGAAACAAGTGTGCTTCTGCTTTGACATGTACCAGAATATCATTGTCTCATTAGTTTGATTTATTGCTATTGTTGTTTAATGTAACTATGTTAATGTATTAAGTGTGATTATTTAACGTTTAAGCAGCTTGGGCTTCTTCGGTCCCAGGGGAAACTCTATTTTTTGCTTCCGTTTAATCTCACTTCACGTTCACTGTGTACACACACAAGAACTAAACAAAAGAATAACAATGGGGGTCTAATATTTTTACATGATACCGTAGAACCTCTTGTTTCACTTGGTTTCACTTGAAGATATCCATTACAGTACCATAAGTACAAGTTTTTTGTTCTTCGGAGAAAAAAAACATACAGTAGCTCAACAGCAACCCCCTAAGGGCCTGAAGATTACTCTGTTAATTGGCTCCTGAGCAGCTCCCAGCATCACAGTTCTTATTTAATCAATGAAGCAACTCTTGTGTAATTCCCTTTCTCCCTCTCTACCACTGTCTCTCAGGACATTTGCGCAAAACTGCAGAAACATCGAAGTGTTGAACCTCAACGGCTGCACCAAGATCACAGACAGCACCTGTCTCAGCCTGAGCAAGTTCTGCTACAAACTCAAACAGCTAGATCTCACTTCCTGTGTTTCCATCAGCAACCACTCGCTCAAGGCCCTCAGGTAGCACCCACACACCCTGGTTAACCAAACCCATATTTCAAAACCACTATGTTCTCTGCATACGCCTTCCCACAATAAATGTAACAATATGGTCATTTTCATTTGGTTCACACGTCCTGTTTCTTTGGTCTCTTTCTTCATATGCTCAGCGATGGCTGCAGAATGCTGGAGATGTTGAACCTGTCTTGGTGTGACCAGATCACACGTGACGGCATTGAGGCTCTGGCTAGAGGCTGCAATGGTTTACGAGCACTGTTCCTCAGAGGCTGCACACAGGTACGGTTATTTATTCTTTCAGTGGGTATTTATATTAGATTTTTATTTTTATTTCCAACATTGAAAAAAAAGAAGTAAAAAAAACACAACAAGAATACTTAACAGGCATCTACAGCAAACTCAAAAACAAAAATAAGTAAGTATGTAATGCTCATAAAGGAGTAGAGAGAAGTGAATACTTATAAAGTCCTACCTCTTTTTAATATGTAATCTAACACTGTTCTACCTTTCTTCCTCAGTCTTCTCCATACACGACTCTTATCAAATCAATCACATCAAATGAAAATTGACCAATTGTTAACCATAAAATGTGTACACTTTTGTGTTCCCTGCTACCAGAGCACAGTGATTAATCGAAATGTACTGTAAACAGGGTCCTCTGGTGGTGAAGAGAGCTCACATTATGCTTCTCTATAGGATCATTTGTAAAACACATTGTAAAGCTACAAAAAACAAATAACTTTAATTTACCAGATTACGTGAAGATCTAGTAAAAATCACAGGAGAGGTGTATTCACATTCCTGAAAAAGGGGAGATGTCTGTGCACTTCCATTGAATCTGAGAATCTAAAATATCCAGGGCAAACTATATATGCAAACATAAATCGTTCTTGCCTGAAAAATATATATTGTGAAACCTCCTTGAATTATCTTTTGGGGCTCACAAATAACAGTGTGGCATGTCAATGGGCTTATCACATTTTAAAACAAGGGCCTAATATAGGAAATGTTTCCCTAACAACACACAAAAATCCAGAAACATATAACAAATATTGATCCAGGTGTTTGATTACCAATAATATGCTTTAATTTTTTTAACCCAGCTGGAAGACGGAGCATTGAAACACCTTCAGAAATACTGCCCAGAACTCACCACCATCAACATGCAGTCCTGCACGGTCAGAGAAAGCTTTGGTTGTGGGATGGGGGATGGGCGATAATAAAGCATGAGGAATGTTTTTGTATGCCTCCTTGTTTTTGTAATTTGTTTTCTTCGTCTGTTGCCTCTAGCAGATAACGGATGAAGGCCTGGTCAGTCTGTGCCGAGGATGCCACAGGTTACAGATCCTTTGTGTGTCTGGCTGCAGTAACATCACTGACGCCTCCCTCACTGCAATGGGACTCAACTGTCCCCGACTCAAGTGAGAAAACACACAAAAGCTGTCCCACCAATCTTCACAAGGACACCAACAGCTCAATATCAATATCCACAAAATATTCTTCTCAGTTTTATTCTCCAAAACAGACAAGATCAACATACATATTTATAATTTTAGCTTTTTGAATATGCCATAATTAACAGAAAGTCTCCTTTGCATCAGGACTTCCATATGTTTGTTAAAATTAAATAGATTCATCAGAGCAAGCACAGGAAAAAAGGTCCCACACATTGTCAAAAGCTTTTTTATTTATTTTATTGAACAGACAAGGTCTCGGGTCTGGTTCAAACTAATCGCCCTCTGCTGGTTAAGATTTTGATTACCACAACATACTGAACCATAAACTTCAAGTAGCCTTTTCATGTTTTTGTGTGCGACTGTGTCCTCAGGATCCTTGAAGCTGCACGATGCTCACACGTTACGGACGCTGGGTTCACCGTGCTGGCCAGGGTGAGTCTCTTTTGTTTTCTTTTCTGTGACCCTCTGTTTTAATCTTCCCCATCACATTGATATTTGATTAAAGTATCATTGGATGATTCATATTTCTCTTCACAGAACTGTCATGAGCTTGAAAAAATGGACTTAGAAGAATGTATTTTGGTAAGACGATTTATGGTTTCCTTATTTAGTGTCATTATCTATGTTGAACCTGGATTCATTTTAGCTTTTTATCAATTTAATGTATGTTTTAATAATAACACTATATA